TATGAAACGTCATTCACCATCTAGTAGCACATTAAAGTTTAATTTTAAAGACAGAATTTGTTATTTATTCGCGGTCATTTCTGATTAGGATTTTTTGATCTGATCATGATATTTCCGGCTATCATGATTTTATGTAATTGCAAGTTTTAGGAATTTTTAAAGCTTAATTAGAGAGACTCATTAAATTTTTTTTCATTACCTTTCTAATAGTACTCGTATATCCTTTGTCAAATGTACTATCGCACTCTAGCAAATGTTATCCAATTATCGTAAAATAAATTTTATGTAATATTTTTAAAATTTATTAAATTTAATGACATATAAAAAATCTGATAAATTTTTTTCACAATTTATGTCACTTTATCTGATTTTAATTAAAGAAATAAAAAAATATAATTGCATATAATGATTTTCTTATATAAATTAATTAAAGATAATCGAATAAAATCCATTTTTATTTTTTTAAACTTTCAACTCTAAATTATTCTTATTTCAAAACCTTACACTGTATTAATTATCACAAATGCACAAAATTCAAGTGAACATAACGAGTATAGCGTGTGTTATACTTATAGATGTATGAGAAAATTGTGATTGATTAATTTTATAATTAAATTTTTAAAACAAAGCATTTTATTTATTATTATTATTATAGTAAAATGAATTTCACATTAATTTTCAAATAAACTTTTTATATTTTATAGTAATTACGATTAGATTTTTCCTTACAGCAATAGAAATTTAAATTTTTTTTTTTTCAAAATCACGAATAATTTTTATTTTTCTTAGAAAATATCCGTGAAATATTCAAATATTTTCTTAATTATTTAAGATATTTTCTAATTATTTAAATCGAAAAAAGCAAAAAAAAAAATATTCTTTTTTGATTTATAATAAATTTAAGCGAGTGATTTAATTATGTCTTGATATAATATCGGCACGACACGGACTTGCTATAGTAATTTTATGAAAACAAAACCAATTCTTAAAACAAAAAAAAAAAATAGAGAGAGAAAAACAGAAATTTTGACTTAGTCGAATGTTTACATTTCTGGATTTATTATACATATTTTTATATATGTATGTATATAAACTTAAAATATACACAAAATATACGAATAGTAAAGTACTATGGTGGTAAATTGTATGTTAAAATTATTTCGAATCAAAGCAAAGGTTTGTGAAATAGCAAATTTTCCTTAAACAAACGAAAATTACTTTTTAAAAAATGATCTTCTACATTTAACTGATTTTCATTAACATACTTTGGTATAGTTATAATCATGATGATAATGTAGCACGACTTCAAGGTTAATGCCCCAGCAAAATTTTTTCTAATGAAAATTGCATACTTTTAGGATGACAACTAAAATTCAATGAAATATTAAGATAATGATTAAATTTAACAGCTTATTTTAGATGAATAAAGATAAATAATTGCAATTTTTGGATGATGACATTAATTACTATAGTTTTTTATTCTTATAGAAATTTGAAAAAGGCGAAATTTAAAATTTTTTTAAGGCTCTCGCACAATAAACTGTTTAAATTTGTGTTTTTACACAACTAGGGGCGTTAACTTTTAGAAGAGGAAGGACGAGGCAACACAAAATTTTCAATTTTTCTTAAAGAATGTAGAACTTTAATTCATTCACTTAGCTTTTAACCTATGAGGTGGTAGTAAATTTTACACATTCTGCTTTGTAATTACTCTATTACATTGCTCTTCCCGTCTTTTGTTATTACTCCCTTATATTGTCTCTCATACTTTTATATTCTCTGTACTATCATAAAGTTTTATACTATCTTACTCAGTGAGATTGAGCCTTCCTTAGTAGACACATAGACGGACAGATAGACGAACGGACACAGTAAAACTGAAAATCATATTTTTTTAAATTTTGTTAGAAAACTTTCATATGTACACGAAATTCCTTCAATTTTAAAAAAAGCTCATCAATCAGGTTAGAACTTAAAATTGAAAGTTATATTGTAGGCATACATTATAACTGCTCTATTATAATAAATACATTGTATATATATACATACAATATAAAGCAACTATTGTAGTATAACATTAACTTTTATTTTCTTATTATATTTTTATCATTTCAGTGTGAAAAAACAATAAGAATTTTTAAAAAGAAACGTAAACCGGATAACAAAATTCAAATAAATAAATAAAAAAAATTAAAAAACACTTGACAGGTTTATTTGTACTGTGAATCACATTAAAAAATTTTATATTTTATTAAGAAAAATTTAAATTCTTTTAATTTCTTAAATTTACAGGAATACCTTGATTAGCGTTAAAGATTTGCTTTTGAATGTTTGCTTTTTGCTACTGTACTGCTGCATAGGAGTAATTCTAATTCTTCTATGTCAATTTTGAATTCATTTTTAAGATAACAGAGACGGGTTAGTGTAGTAGAAGTTTAATTGAATTTAGTTGACCGAAATGAGTTCTTGACGCCGAAAAATTGAAATATAGGTTATATTTATCATGACATGCAAAAACTATTTATGAGCAAGCAACATATGTAAGGGCGGTGTGTAATTTGGTAAAATTTATTCTGGATTTTAAGCGAAAGGAAAGGGCCATAAACTCCAATATCAAGGTAATATCTTTTAAATTATTCAGGTCAAATGATAGGGTTCATGTTCTTGTCTCTATTCAACAGGTTCTCTCATAATGTCCCAAGGTCAATGAATCGATTTGCGTTGTTAAGACTTTCTGAACAAGCCGTTTAGTTTTCATCCTTTTAATCTTAATTTACAGAGACACGCAAGAGTAAAATGAAATGTGCCTGTACTTATTTATTCAATTTTTTTTTTTTGAAAATTATGATACACATTTTATAATTTTTAATGGCGTTGAAGTATAATTAAAATCTTTTGTTGTTTTGAAAATTAATGGTTATTCATGGTGTTCTTAACTTTTATTATCTCGTTTATTTAAATTATTTGCTTTATTAAGTTGATGAAGGACCACCATATACGTATACCTACGATGTGAATATTATTCTAAAAATAATATTTTTAACTAACTTATTCTAAAATTAACATTTATTAAAATTAATTTAAAAATTTTTTTTTTTTTTTTATAATTTGATGTTAATTTTGACACTAAATGTTAAAATATGAAAAATGCGATGTCATTTTTTTAGTATTAATGTTTGTGTTTTGGGGAAATTTGATTTGTTTAGCATTATGATTAATGCCCCAGAAGATCTTTGAACTGTGTTATTAATTTCAATGTTATAGATAGATAATTAATTTAGCTATTTTTATTTTGAATTTTTGATACTGTATGGCACTTTCTGTAATTTTTCATACTATTTTCAATTTTTGTTAATATTTTAATAGGAGAGTCGAAGGGTGCCAGCACCTACTGGGACTCCTTTTTTCGTACTCTTTCGTAAATAAAATTAGAATTAAGGGATTATAAGTTCACCTTATAGGTATACACTTGCACTATAAAAATGGCGCACGTAAATAAGTTAATGCACAAAGAAATTACTAAAACGCGTTGACATTGTCTTCTCTTCATTTATTCGGGTACATGAAAAATTTAAGAAACAATAACAATTATAAATGAATATACTATTATATAAAATTTCACATCATAGAATCACAATATGAGAGTACACTATATTGACATGACAGTAAATATTATTTATAGGGCTAATATAATAATAACGTACGTTGTCGTAAACATGCATGTTTTTAGTTTAAATACAATACTATATGGTTGATAGTGCACTAACTTATTAATAGTGAGAATATTATAGTGAGAGTATATATACAATAAATATGTAAAAGAATAGATACCGAATAACTATAACAGAAATTTTAATCACATTTCACCACAGTATACAAGAATAAATAAATTTCTCTTTTAATTTTTAATATTGTTACACTACATTACAATATATGCTACCATACTCGTATTGTACTCTCTCTCTCATGTGAATTTTTTTTGGATCAAATCGATTCACATACGTTATACTGTTACCATAATGACATCACTCATTATTATTATCATTTACTACAATAACAATGATGTTAGTACTACAATATCAATGAGTAGTGTCGTTATTGTTTAATTATAAAATGTGTTTTTCTCAGTGTCAAAACACTTTATTGATGTGTAATTGCATATAATACAATAATTTGGTAAAAAAAAAATTAATCATTGAACTTAAATTAATAGAAGTATAGAAATTGCTTTAACAGTTTTTAAAGTGAAATAATCAAAATAATGTAAATTTGTTAAAATAAATAAAAACGAGTAAAAGGTAGAGTTGATTGTGTCAACTCTGGGGTATGCTATAGCTGATTATAGGACAAACTATGACTTTAATTATGATGGTTTTGTTTTACACACGGTTACAAATTAATTGGCGAATTTATAATACCCTTCGAACCTATGTTCGCATAGAAATAATAATTGTCATATTAGTCTATGCAAAAATTTAGTGCTGTAATTCCAATAGTTTCTAAGATATTACCAAACATCTTTTAAAGTTGCATGAAAACTAAAATACATGCTTATGAAATTTCAACAATTTTTACTAAAAATAGTGGTGAGACGGGGTCCAAAAATTTCAACAAATTTCATCATACATAACAGTTCCCATAATATGCTTGTTTGTGGAAAAAGCAAATAACTTTTGAAGTTACCGCAACCACTGCCTCGATCATATTTAATTTAAATAATGTTTTGGTACTTACTATTAAAAATCTTTCGTGAAAATTTGATAAGCTTAGCTCAATTAGTTTTTGAGTTATCGTTGGGATGGATGGACGAACAAACGGACAGACATGATCAAGTCGACTTAGAATTCACCACTGATCAGAAATGCACACTTATGTCTACATCTCAGATCATCATTTGTTAGCGTTGCTAACGGTAAGACAAATTTATAATGCCCTTCGAACATATTTTTTTATGGATATAAAAATAATAATAGTAATAACAATAAAAGGTGTCAACTTACCTTTATCTCATTGGATTTTCTTCTAATTGTTGTTACTCCTCCGATATCACAGTCCAATAATATATAAAAAAAATTTTACTTTTCAACTGTTAATTGAAGGTTAAAAGGTTTTTCTTTTCTTGTGTTGTAGACGGCAAAAAAAAATTCACAATTGGCTGAGGTTTTATTAACCTCTAATTGTGTATAAGGTGAGTAAATAAAAAAAAAAGATGAAAATTATGTGAAAAAATTACAAAAAAAAAAATTGTGAGATTTTTTAAGGTACTTGTAAAATAATTTTATTTTAAATTATAATTTTGTATATTTTGCAGTAGCAAACAGTTCATTAATATTTTAAGTACACTTTGAGAAAGAGAAGAGAAAAGGAAAGAAAAGAGGTGATTTTGATCTTAATAAAAGCATTCAAGTGGAATAAATTTGTAGGTGAATTTTATGTTTCTTGTCTTCTCTTAATCACTTCAATTCGTTTTTACATTTAAATTTTAGATTCCGATCTAATTTTTTTTAGATTTTCAAGATTTTCTTAATAATCTTATAAGAGATATGATAAATGACTTGCAATTATTATAATGTATGTATATATAGTTGAGTTGAAAATGTTGAATCAATTTAAGTCAATGGATTCATAATATTGGTAGCTTTTTTCTTCTTTTTTTTTCTTAATTTATTTATACAGTCGTTCACATTCCATTTATTAATTCATATGTATGTATGTATAAGTAGTTGCGATAATAATCTGAAAGTAAAAAAAAATAAAATGGTAAAATTAGAATTTGAGAAATATTTAATAAGATTTTTGTTTTGGTTTTAAGCTTTTTTTTTTATAAATTATATGGTGTCATTATACACGAATCAAAGATTTAATAAGTTTAAATGATTGAAGATAACAGACAGATTGATAGCCTTCTAATGTATATTGTCAATTAATCTATATATTTTATATTGTACGAGTGTTATTTAGATATAGTTATACATATGGATACGGGTCATACAGAATGGATAGAATTCAAATATGTAGCTATAGAAATTGTTAAAAGTAAAAGTGAAAATTTCTGTAATTAAGTTTAAGTAGAAGAAACATACGGGGTTGATTAATAGTAAAATTTGTTCTTTGAAAGTGAATTTTTGTCTGTTAGCCGTGCTGCCAAATAGATTAGCCCAAATATCTTAATTTTGAAGATTTGATAAAAAAAAAATCTTCCCAAACCCTTCAAGATCTTCAATTAAAATCAGATATCAAAAACAAAAATTTATGACATGCACCATGATATATAATTTTATAAGCCGTATGCGCATTTGGTTATTGCGTCTAGTCGATGAAAGACTTCTGTATAGCTCTAAAAAATATTTTTGTATGTAAAATTAAAAATTTTAAAAATCTTATTCAAAATTATTAAAGAAGATTTTTAAAATTTAATCTTCATTTTGAAGATTAATTTTCACTTTTGGCAGCGATGTCTGTTAGTAAAGTTAGAGTTTATTTTGAGTCATTTTCATCTACTCTTTGTTCATTGAAATCGAATGTACTTGTATAAACAAAAAAATTTATATTGAAATTTGTATATTGAAGTTCTTTTTTTGATTGCAGCCACTATTAATTATATAATTTTCTTTACGAGGCTAATAACTTTTAAGAATATATGAATAATTTTCGCTATATAAATATATAAATAGTGACTGCAAATATTAGACAGTAATTGCAATTATATACCGGTTGTCCCGAACTAGATAATATTCCCGAAGCAGGGTGATAGAATACATCTAAACGAACAAAAAACCGCTAGTGTCATATGCTTTTAAATTCCTCTTTTTCGAATTATGAGGCCACAAAGTTTGGTATTTTTCAAAACTGTCGAATTTTTACATTTTCATTGATAGCACGGAAAACATGAGAGGCAAAGATAACTAAATCTCACTAAATTTCCGATTGAAATTCACTAAATTAAGTCCAGTATTAAAAAAGACGTTCTCCCCTTAAAATGACATAAATTCACAATAATTATGAATGTGTTCAAAATAATCTCAATAATTCAACAATAAACAATAAGGTGAATAAACTCCTTATTTTAATAAAATGTTATTCTTCATAACATTTTAATGTTACGAGTATGTTAAATGTTAAATCTTACCAATATTCTAAAAAAAAAGAAAGTGAATTCCTATTTGTCTTATGCCGTTTCTTTAAACTCGACTATCTACCATCCAAAGCACGTTCTGTTTAATGGTCATACAAAAAATATTAATTATAAGAATTAAATCTATACAAAAGGATTTAGAAATGAATATAGGCAAAATTTTTTTTTGTTTACAGGTTTTGCATTTTAAATTATACTCGTATTTCTGATAAACCGGACTTTAAAATTTAAATTCTTAAGGAATAATACGGGAATAAGTATACTATAAGAATGGAGTTATGAGGTTATAAAAGAAATTTATGAGGTACTTAAATGAATTAAGAATTAAAGAGAATTTTTTTCCCCTCTATACTTTGATTATAATATCCTGCTTTTGATTAATGAACTTCATATTATAAATAATATCATTATTTTAATTTCAACTTAAAAAAAAAAATATTTATTTTAATACAAAATGACAATATTTACAAGAAATAAAAAAAGGTGAATTTTCATCATGGCAATTGGCAATAATTTTTTGTTGAATTAAATACTATTGAAATGCATCATTACATAAAAATTTTTAAACACACACAATTTTTATTGTTATATCGACAATTATAATTATTATTGTTACTTTATTTCACTTGCATGTAATAAAATATCGAGATGATGGTAAAAAGAGAGTGAAAAGAAATTATGTAAAATTAAATTTTGAAATTTTACTTTTTGCATTACAATTACATTTGAATACTTTGGAACATAATAGTCGAGTTGGGACGTATACATACTGTATTTGTACATATTATAATAAAAAGTAGTGTAGTAAGCAAATATGTTTAATACTGTTATTATCTTGTAAGTAGTTATTTCTGTTATTGCTATTTTTTTATTCTCTTTGAAAATTTCACGATTTATGCATATCAATGAGCCGTAACAACATGATTTTAACACATGAAATTGGAGTAATTGATGAAGAATAAATGTATGTATTTATTTTTGTTAAAATATACAAAAATTATAGGTATAGGTACTCGCATAACATATTTCATTTTCTATATTGAATAGAAAATATTATTACGAGCTAATGAGCTATTAAATATAACTATATTGTTATACATAGTATATTGCAAATGAAATGTAGTACTCTTTATAAATTTCAAGATAAATTTCAATGTGTATGGGTATATGTAGATTTCTAATAATGCAAATTTATTGTTTTAACAGTATTTTACTGTTATTATTCATTTTTTAAGTAGCGTATTAAATATTTCGTAGGCGTACATATATAAGCACAATTAAAATTAACGCAAATCGTTTGTAAAATTTTTGGTAAAATATTTTAAGAATTGTTAAATATAAGCAATAAAATTCATTTAGAAACTAAAATTTTTATTTGAATAATTGTATAACACTTGTAAAAAATTTTTATTTCAAATCGTTAAACTGTTAATTTGTTGTCATTTGCGGCATATTTGTAGCACATCTCGAAGGTAAGAGGTGGAAAAATTTTTTAACACAATTTTTCTATTACATTTTCATTTTTAACAGTTTGAAATCTGAACAGCCTGTAGACCACACTATAATAAATAATTCGAGTCATCGCTTTAAACTAAAGTCTAATCAAATTTCTTGAAAAGCAGATAAATAACGGTCAATCCTACACTATCTTCCTGTTAGAAAATATAATGAAATTTTTTTGAATGCAAAATATAATTTTTAAAATATAAATGACTCAATCAACAATAGCATCCCATTGAATTGTGTAGCTCTTTTTAGTTCTCATCCTACATGTATGCAATAATTATGGTTTATTAATAAAATATTAAGAGAAAACGGTAATAGAGAGCATCGTGTTTTATAAAACAAAATGAAAATGTGCTATATTTGAGAAAACGTTGGTTTGATCCGAAGTCAATACTAATAACCGTCAGTATTAGTAACGAAGTTACAATCATCGTACGCTGCACCGTCATATGATATTTCATTGTTTCATTTTTAAGAACAAACAAATTCTTCATCAACTATATTTTAAATGATGAGCTCATTATAATTATATAAAACAAATTTTTAAATAATAAAATTTTCTTTGCACGTATCCTTAATTGCACATCAAATATGCGTATACAACATTTATTCAAAAATTTCGTGTATTACACAGTGTTTAATGGAATGTGCTAACAAACAATATGACTTATAATATTTTTCCATGTAAATAAATTATAATAAATTACAATTTTACATAAAATGCAAATATTCATTTTATATATAAAAAAATAATATATGTAAGTTATTATAATTAACCACATATAATGAAATTATAAATCGTGTTCTATTCATTCAGTAGTCATCATCATTACTCCTTCATTTTACTCATATACATATACATTTTTTGCCAAATAAATCAATGATTCTTTAAAATAGCACATTTCCTTTAAGTGAAGTCTTTTGTTTTTTAATATGATAACAGAAACATGGTTTGCTAACATAATTCTCTCAGAATTTAAAAATTTTAGATTCTTATAATTTACTGTGTAGGAGGTGATAACAAGCGGTGGAAAAAAACCTAGAGATTGTTAGGACGCGTCTGAGGTTCCGGTGAGTAAAAAAAAATTTTTGGGCGTTGTTACAATCGCGAGTGTTTTGAAGTGATCTGTAGGATACCGACAGACCATGTGAGAATTCTCACGGGTTTCCTAACGAGACAGTGCAGATGTAAGAAGCACCTAAGGAAACTGGGCTTGGAGACCACTAGTCTTGTGTTTGGGAAAGGCGAGAAGGCCCTCTCATTAGGTATGAAGCATTGATCCATTAGAAAAGGTTGGGGTATACATTAATAAATGTTTTAGGACGCGAAGCATTACTGTTCTAATTTACAATTTGCAAAAGGAAAACCATTTAAAGCAAAAATATAACAGTTAAGAAAGAAGTAGGTCGAGGATTACATAAAATTATTAGCGATTTTGGTTTGAATTATGGAAGGCAATAACTTTTAGAGTTTAGGGAATAATAAGTAAATACTTTTCCAGAGAAATAAATAGGTGTTTCACATTTGCAGCCTTACATTTATATAAAATGACAGCTTTCGTAACAGACAGTGTGAAAACTAATGAGTAAATTTTTATTGTTTCTAATTTTGTTAAAAATATGCTATAAAATTTCAACTGTGGGATTTTTTTTCTAGCTTTATTTTTAAGATAAAGTGAAATATAAAAGTATCTAAAACAAAAGTAATATAAAATATTTTTGTGTATATGATCTGAATGTGTAAGCTGCCATCTGTAGGTAAGTATATGTATGTATACAATGTATTTTATAATGTGCTACCTACTTAAATATATGAGAAGAAAACTTTGAGGTGAGACGTTTGAATGTAATTTAAGTCATACTATAATTTCTCATTTTGATATAACATTCTTTGTATGTAAATACACAAACACAAACACAAATATAATTATATACAATTTAAAGAAAATGGTTTTTTCTTTCCCAAAATGTTTTCTTTAACAGATCTTCATTATATATATCTAAGATTTACTGATATGCTGATTAGTTTACCAATTACTGATGCTTTCATATTATTTGAATTAGGTTAGAGGTGATTATTATGATAAATGAACTA